TATGGATAGTCAATCACTGGCTTGGGTATTAGAAAATGAAAGCCACGTTGGTCGAATGCTTGTAAATGTAGCTCCCAAATAAAAAAAACATCAAGTGTCGTCTTACGCACCAATAGGCCGGCACGAAATGAGTGTCACCACAGCTTTGCTTGCTTAGCAAGGAAACCGGCGTGAAACAACCACAGCGTTGTTTCGCAGTGTGAATGAGTTCACCACAGGTTCAATCATTCTTCACCTACCCACGTACCCTAAACATTTAACAACCTTTAACAATCCGAATGGCCGGCAACGCACTTATAACTCCACTGGTGTTGCGGTTGTCCACCTGTCTATGGACGGCGCCAGTTACTTACCATCAGGTAATCAATCTCAAATTTGCCGTTTTATCCAAAAAGAACAAAGGTATCTTAGGTTAAATTCCCGGCTCAGCAAAAGTATTAGTCGATCTTTTAGGATTCTAGGTACCTAATAGGTCAACACTTACTATATGGATGGGGTTCAAAATATAATGAAAAGTATATGTACAATTTTGTAGGATCGTGAAGTTATATTTTGTATGTGTTAGAAAATAATTTAGAATCATTATTTTGTATTGTTGATACTTGATAGGTGCGGTTTGGTTGTTTAGTTAAGGTGTGTACGGAACTAAACAAGCGGAGTTACTTTCTAATTAGTAGCTAGCTAGATAATCTTGCATATTAATTTTAAGCTTTGTTTTATAACATATAATATTATATGTATGAAAGATAAAGACTAGTGTTTTAAGTGTCGGAGAGCCATGCTTCGACGCGAATAAGTCGGATCGGCCTCGCAGAACACCTGCGTAACAACCACATTGTTGTATTTCGCCGGGTGAGCGAGGTTACCAGAGACCCAATTCTTCCCTTTCACCAATACCCAGTCCCTTTATATCCAAAACTCTAATTCCCAACACACTCAGAACTCCTCTGTAGGTCGGATGTCTATGAGCGGCGCCGATAGCTTATCATCAGGTAATCAATCAGTCTGCTCGTTTGACGCCCTACCTTATATAATACATAAAACCGCAGATTCTTATTGTAATCTAAATTTATTCTCATGTTCCTTTTAATAATAAATACTTAAAGACCATTTAATAATCAGTGTAAAGAACAGCAGATGTTCAAACTAACATTCTAATAAGTACCCAAAGCCATTTTATATAAAACTTCAAATCCCATTTCCTCCAGTAGGACACAACTAAACGCAAATGATCTCAAGCTTTCCAATTACTGAGCGATCCCAAATCGTCGGTAGTTGTTCGCGGAATATAAATGCGTTATTACACGTATCGAATATTGTTTAACTTTCCCTTTGGGGGTCAGATAAAGACGTACCATCTATGGGATCGTAAAACCTTATAACAATCACCATGGGCCGCCTCGCCATGCAATCGATACAACCCCTTGATGCAAGGACAAATTTTTATGGTACATTGAACAATTGTAATAAAAGTCCAAGAGGTAAAGTGGAGGAAGAAAACATCTTCGTTGACTCACCCCAGGATGATAGGAATGTAAGTGTTCGAGAATGTTATGTAAGTCATGGTACAATTTGACCTATTTTCTGCAAATGTATTTCATGTCTTTTGTTTGACTTCCTTGGTACTGTTTATCTTTTAAGTTCAAGTGTTGGGTTCATATTTCTGTTCAGTAATCATTAGGCATTAGATCGTCAAATGGCTTTAGAACTTTGCAAAGTTTATATGTTTCTCATCATCAGCCTGATTTCGTCTAATGCTGGACATATGCCTTCCCTATTGCACGCCACTGAGCTCCATGTTCAGCTCTTCTCATCAAACCACTGCCAGCCTGCCAGTGGATATCGTCAGTCTATGTTTTAATAGTAGGACTATTAAAACTATTGAAATACAGATCCATTCTAAGCCTCATTTTATGATGAAATATTAAGTAACTTTAACAAGAAAAAGTGAACTGAAGCTATCATCCATTTTCCGATTAAAGTTTATACTATACACCACTTAAATGTTCGCAATAACATAAAAAAGTTATCATGTAATGTAGCCAATTGAGCCATATAAAGTCATAAGCCGTGTACACTAATAAGTAAAATGTTGCTTTCCCTCTTCGTTACTTAAGTTAATGTAAAGGTTCGAACATATTGCAAACGCATAGCGGGTTAGTTCTTAGTAAATTCTCTTGTTTTTCAATTGGTGTGAAATTTCTTTTGTAATGCTTTTTTTCTTTTTATTTACTTCATATTATTGTGTAAAATAATTTTATTTATACTATGGTCAAACGAATGAATCAAGTCTTTTTGTTCTTCTTATTCTTCTTTAGCCTTTTCCTACCCTTAGGGTGTAGGCCTCCTTCAGTTTCTGCCATCTCTTTCGGTCTTGAGCAATTTGTATTCACTTCGTGCCAGCTGTTCGTTTGATGTCATCGTACCAACGAACGCAACAAGGAAGACCCCAGGTCTTCCTTCCTTGTTTTTCGCCCCACGGTCTCTATCACGGCTTTGCACCACGAACCCTGTTTGCGTGCAACGTGATCACTCCCACGTAAGTTTCACAATATGCTGTGTAAATCAAGTATCAGGCCTAATATTGACATTCGACGAACATTTATATTATGATGTGATTTCTTTGCATTACTCTATGGTTGACTGTTAAAGAATGTCCGCCATTCAGACTGTTTTGTGCGAAGAAGGATAAATAAATTAAAATAAAATTATACATCAAAACATTATTTTATTTCTCAGTAATTGTCGTGACAATCAATTTATTGTTTACGAAATCCGTGAAAAAATTTATGTACAACTTGGGAAGTCAAGCTTCGGCAAGGATGATTCATTTCAAATGGAGTCGAAAACCGATTTGAAACATGGCTAAAGTGGTGTTTCATCAGGTGAGTGAATTCACCAGAGCTCCAGTCTTCTATCCTTAAATCTGGAAATTCCTGAAAACTCTTCAAACCCTCGTACGCAGACTATCAAATTGCTTCAGTGTTTCGTTCCTCTCGCCCCACGCAGAGCAAACAAAAGCAGTTGATGATTTTCCCCCACTCAAATCGAAATTTATGAAAATCTAGGATGTGAGACCTTTTAACCTCACTATAAACAACTAGATGGCCAACATTAGTTAGTACCAGTAGGGAAATATCGAATTCTCTGGACCAGCCCTAGAACTGAAATAAGTTCTGAAAATAAACAGCACCTAAGGATGCTGCCAGGATTGCGGGGTAAGCGCAATTAGGCACCGTGGCCTTGGCCTAGATCAGAAGAAGGAACGGGGGGTTTTAGTAAGTAAGAGTAACACTTCCTCCCGTTTTACCCTGGGCAGGGCAATCCATTTGATGATTTTTCCCTGCCAAAAAAACTGGGGATGATAAGCTAAAGAGAATTGGATGTTATATATTACTTGGATGTTCCGTGAAATATATTTTACCCGATTATTATGATACAGTTTGCGCCATAATGGTAGATGGCAATGATGTCGAATAAACAACGTCACTACTATATGTTTCCCTTTATAGCCACTAAGGTACCATCCTAATGATATTGTTGATATGCGTATCGTGATATCACGTAAAGATTTGACTTTCATAAACCGTTGTACCTACATAATATTAAAATTCATTTATTAAAATATATATATTTTTTAATATAAATAAAATTTTAATGTTAATCTGGATATAACTTCCTATATCGTACTTTTTCTTTGATCAAGTACCCAGCCAAGTTTTTTATATTACCTAGTACGGTAGGCTTCGCCATCGGTACTAAAGTAAGAAGTAGCCTATTTGTAATTTCAAATTTCATTACTTGAAGGAGTATTATCATCTATCCATCCATACATACAAAATATACATACATACATACCTAAATCCTTTGGGCGTTATTTATATAGTAGCTTTTTTAATACCAGCTATTCTATAATTTATCTATACTAATATTATAGAGCTGAAGAGTTTGTTTGTTTGACCTACTGGTTCGAATGGAACAATTCTTTTACCTGTATCATGTAAGTACTGCCTAAATAAACCGAAAGTATAAAAAACTTGGTAAATGTTAAAATGCCTCAATATTTATTAGTCCATTTATCAAGGAAGACTAGAGTCTATTAAACATCACGCTATGATCTGTTGGAGCTGCGGGTGAAACAGCGTGTGAGTAGCTAGTATGATTACTAAAATGTGTCGCGTAGGAATAAACAGGAAAGAGGTTTTACAGCTTAGATATTTTTAGCTTAAGGCATAGTGGAGAAGACATCATTCGGTCCATGTAATGCTTTTAGGCTGAAATAACCTAAGCTAAATTTGGTTATGACTCCTACTGAATTTCACAAGAGGTTAGAATCGAATATCAGATAGATGTTTTAAATTGGGTTGTTCGGAACCTGTACGAATGTGACATTTACCAAGTTATTTATACTTTCGGATTATTTAGGCATTACTTACCAAATATTGTAGAGAAACTGTTTTTTAAGCCTTAAATTATCGAAATACTTTTCAGGGTGGGGCGAAATAGAGTGTCAGATTTTTACAGACTAAAATCCACACCGTATCTTCTCGGGTTCATCATTAAGTATGCTCCACCGTGACCTGCAGATAGTGGGGGTATTGGAATCGAAAGTAGGCGTTTGCTGACTAGTGGGTTTTCGTAGGTTGATAATATCACGTGATTTATAAAAAAAACAACTCTCCTCAATTGATAATCTCCAAATCCCTAAAAGGTCAGCAACGCATTCGTAACTCCTCCGTTGCGGGAGTCCATGGGCGGCGCTGATTGCTTACCATCAGGTCATCCGTCTGTTCTTTTGACGACCTATTACATAAAAAAAACTCAAATGCAAAAACACTCCTCATTTTTTAAATTAAGGATATTTTGTAAGTGATATGAATAAACCGGTTTTTTTATAATCACATGCGTTGTTAAATCGCTACATCTGCCCTAACAAAACCGCGTCCTCTCTCGATAACTTCCACGGATAGATAAACATTAAACTCTTTAACCTGTTAATGGGCTATCGTTGTATCTCAATTATGTTAGATAACATCAGTATTTGTTATCCTTACCGGCATTATGTACCTGTATGTGGCTGGATATGGTGGTTAATACTGGAAAATGTGGCTTTTCAAACGAGCTAACACCGTGCCTAACTTACCCGTGACACCAACTAGGCTGTACGCGGTAAGTTATATTTTTAATTTACACTGCTTAATTTTATCGTGACCTCTTGCCCATTATTATTTCCTAGTAACATTATTTTTGTAACTAAAATTGATGTCTTCTTTAAATTTGACTTCTAGCAGTTTGTTTAAAAAGTTTTCTGTAAAGCTGATGAGGAAACGTTTTTTTTTTTAATATCAGTTTTCTTTTCTTCGTTTAAATACCCGTTTTCATTATATTATAGTGTATACCTCTAGATTCTAGAGAAGTTGAAGATTTTATCGTCCCTCTGTATCTAAACGACTGTTCAAATAACAGCGGTAAACAAGAAAATACGTGTAATTAGCATTTACGCGATTTGAATGGCTAATTTTTAGGCGATTACAGTATGATTTAATAGTCTAATAATTGTACGTTTACTGTTCTGAATAGCTTATTTAGTGTTAAGCTTTTTATGTTTTTGTATGTTGTACACATTATTAACTTTATTAATACAATATTTTTATTTCTTTATTTTATTTAAATTGTTTGTTGTTGACATATTATCTGAAGTGCTATGTGTACGTTTAAAATCACACTTTAGATAGGTTTCTTTTCATTTTCTATTGTCTTAAATGTGGTGCGTATAGGAGTTATATTTATGATAAATATACGCATAATTGATCACGTTTTGCCTAGTCATAGACTTTCACGATTGCTCTTTGTTTCTCCTGGCATCTTTCCCAACTAAATTGGCGTCGATATGTCTTCACCAGATTTGGCTGAACAATACGTACTCTTCTAAAACAAATCTACTATAGAAGATAGGTAATCAAAAATATATGAAAATCTCAAAAACATTTTACAAATTATGTTTCGTTATCGTATATTTTACACCTAGCTTCACCTAGCTTCATTGACGAACAGAGAGACAGACTATTCTATTTGCTGTTTCAAAAGTTATATATTTATATGTTGTAAGTGTGGGAGAGCCATGCTTCGGCACGAATGGGTCGGCTCGACCGGAATGATACCACGGCCCCACAGAAAACCGGCGTGAAACAACCATAACGTTGTGTTTCGCCGTGTGAGTGAGGTTACCAGAGGCCCAATCCTCCCCCTCCCCCAATCCCTAAATCTCCAAATCCCTAATCCCTAAAAGGTCAGCGACGCACTCGTAACTCCTCCGTTCTTGCGATGGCGTCCATAAGCGATGGTTTCTTACCCTAAGGTAATACGATTGCCCGGATGCCGATGTACCACATAAAAAAAATCTTTATGGTGTAGTTAGATTAAATGATTTTGACTTTGACTCATTATCACTAAATATGTATAATTTTCTGACTTTCTTCAGTTCAATCTTTAGCCAATAGAATAGAAATTCTTGTTAAAAATGATTTGATTATATTTGATTGGCGGATACCGATTAAGATGGCGACGATTATTAGAATTTGAAATGACATCTATAATTCAATAATCGGTAAATGTCATTGCTTCTAACCGAAAAACAGTATTTGATATCATTCGATTAGTATCATGCCGATGTTCTTTTACTATACTTTTATTGTTTTCTTGTTTACAGTTTATATAACTTTTTCATTCTTTGTTTCTTACAAGTCATTTATTGTTCTGCTAGCCTGAAATTACACATTGATATTCTTACTCTTTCTCAATCCTAAAGAGACATAGGTTTTCAAGTTGAATCCAAACAATAAACATTCTGAAAACGTCTGGTTCGCTTATTTTTTTTTTGTTTCAACATAATCTGCTTACTACAGCTCTTCTCACACGAAAAGGAGTTGAGCATCGATAAACACGTTTGCTCAAAGCAGATTGGTGATTTCAAATTTATAATTCCTTAAACAATAATATGTCTGTGTTGTTTAAATGAACTTATAAAATACACATAGCTGGGAAACCTCACACTTTTTTGTTTATTCTTCAAAATTAGATTCTATTAAATATTTTTTACAAACGACTAATATATATTATGTCACCTATTTAAAATGTTCATTTTAAATAAGTACGTTCATTTTAAATAAGTACGTTAAACAGTCGTATCCAACTACGATGACATTAGTTCCTAGCTTTCCTTTAGCCAGCCAGCTCATAAAGTTTGAGGATTTTTTTGATGTTCACCTCAATTGATGAGGTATTATTATTAAATGCACTTAGAAATACTAATCAGTAATTATACAAGCAATATTTGTGAACCGATCAATATCTAAATGTAAATCTTTATTTCCATGTGAACCGCTCATTTACAGAGTAAGACAAGGGCCATAAAATGGGTTTACTGTTAGAAGATCACTATCTACGACTAGTGTTAATTTCTCTTTGTCTGTAGGTTCAATTCGGATTACCATCGTGTTTATTACCGAAATCAAGACAAGTAGGAATGGAAATAGTTTTATTGTACTCTTTTACTTAGATGTTTGTTAAGCTTGTAGATTTAATGAAGGACAATTTAGAAGTTCCAGTATAGGTTTTTGTATCGTAGAATTAAGTTAATTGCATTGTTATATCATAAGTCAGCCTACGAGCAGGCGGATTACCTGATGGTAAGCAATCAGCGCCGCCCATGGACACTCGTAGTACCTACCAGGAAGTTCCTACAAGGCGTTGCCGACCTCTTGAGGGTTATTGGGGATTTAAGGTTAGGTAATTTGAGGATTGGGGTTAGGACAGGAGAAGAAAGAATTGGGCTTCTTTTTAAGAATAATATCTAAAGACTTTCTCATTTACACCCGGTTTCCGAAAGGTCGATCAATGTTAAAATCAATTTAATATCTTGTCAAGTCATCTGATTCGTTGACTGAATTATCAACAACAAATCAGATGACTTGACAAGAGATTTGACACCTAGTTATTTGATTTTAACATTGATCGGGCTTTCGGAAACCGGGCATATCATTCTTTGCTTTCCTCTGTAGTCCTAACATAAGTAGCAAGGACCATTTTATAAGTTAGAATCTTTCAATTCATTTGGTACTCTTTTCTGTTATGATCTTTGGAACATCTTTGGAACGAGCAAATAGCTTCACTAAGAGGACTGACCGACAGACTGACACGATATCTTCAAAATTTTGTTTTGACGTTCAGAAGTTCCTGTAAAGGTCTAATTGGAATAAATGATTTTTGACTTTTTTTTTTGACTTTTTTTTTGATCTTTTTTCTTTCGCCCTCGGGTGAGGGCGAGAGGGACTGTCAGTCTTCCAACCACATCGTTCCTTGTCCTGCTCCAAACTAGAGCAGCATTATATTATAACTGTCTTTTTTTTCACACAAATTGATAGACATTTCTAGTTCTTTTTTTTTAAGTACCATGTGTGTCATCATCGTCAGCCTATAAGTGCCCACTGCTGAGCAAAGGCCTCTTCTCATACGGAGAAGGTTAGTGCAATTATCACCACGTTTGCTCAATGCGGGTTGGCGATTTCAAACTTATAATTAGAAATTATAAGTCCAGGTTTCCTCACGATGTTTACCTTCACCGTATGTCAGTGGTGTCTAAATAATCATAGAAAGTACATATAACTCGGAAAAAGTCACATTGGTACTTGCCAGGTTTCGAACCCACACCCTCATGCATGAGAAGCGGGCTGCTTAACCTCCGGGCCACCACAACATGTTGTACCATGTGTGTAGTTTAGCTTAAATAAATACTTTGGAAATTCAGCTGAGAATACCTATTTTTCTGAATACTTGTAACACAAGCTTCGAAGTTAGCAAAAAAAAGACTCTTGTTTCGTTCCCAGTTGTAGACAGTAAAAACAAATGTGCCTTAAGAGTTTATATTGAAAATGTTTGCTCGTAGAGGCGTTTTTAGCATGATTTTCGTGAAACACTTAAAGGTCAACCAAGCGATTGACTGTTTATCACGTTGTCCTTGTTAATTATAGATTTTTTTTCTTTGTAACTAAAATCTGGTTTTAACGTTGTTCTAAATCATAGTATAGGAAATTAAAATGAGCCAGTTTGTTTGTTAATTTGTTCAGTATTGGACAAAATTTGACAAAGGTTATTATAATAATTATTTATTTCACAAAAAAAAAACGTTTACTTCATTAGACTATGAACACATAGGGTTAATCAAGGTTAAAATATAGACTTCTTAACTAGGTGTAGCCCTGTAACTTAGAAGTCAGTGATTCTCCGCAACAAGAAACTAGAGGAAAATCACTGTGTATTTTAGTAAGTGTATAAAATTAGGTATAGTAATCTCTGCATCACCCAAAGGCGAACCTTTTGAAACTGGCAGAGAATGCCTAGCCTTGTGGCATCAAGTCCACCTTGCAAACAGACTGATGATGTGCAAACGTTTAAATAAATAATAAACTTGCAAATATAAATTGCATTGAAATGTAACTAAGTGAAGTAACCAAATTTTATTACATGGTACTCTTCACATAATTAAAGAGTATACACATAACTAAATCGCATAAAAACTACAAAATTGTGAATCGTTATCAACCTGCTTAGATAACAAACCAAAAATTATAGAATACTTTGTTTCGTATAAACATAGAATCACGTTACTGAACGTGTTAATACCAGTGGGAGCTTGGTATAATTAGCCAGTAAGTCGACCGACCCATAAATTACCATCCCTAACTACCACGTCAACACTGTGAACATTGTCTAAACAGATTTTAAATCTAAACATTTTATTTAAAATATTAAAAAATAACGTTTCACTGATAGCGAATTTGAAGAACAGGTGAACTGAATATAGTCGGGGTAGCAAATGCAATCGCAAATTATGCATCGCGGCTTTGGCTCTGAGTAGGAATAATAATGGGACGATTTTTAGTTAGTAAGAGTCCGATAGCTCTTGCCGACCAAGAGAGGAAAAATTTTTTGTTTGTATTCCCACTTAAAATAAAAAGTATAGTAGTCTGTACTTCTATATTACAAAGAGGTAAAATTTGTAAGTTTGTATGTTGTATGTAGGAGGTAATCTTTGGAACTGCTGATCGGATCGCCAAAATTCTTTCACTGATAGATAGTTTCAATGTTCCTGAGTGCTATAGTCTATAAAA